CCCAAATCACCATGTTCATTGTGCAAACTTTAATTCCGCATGCCAAACCATGTTCTTATGTCACTACAATACCTCATTTAACCGGTTACTAGGTCTATGTAATCAGTTTAATCCACATAAGCGTCTATTTGGATCAAACGACGTCGTTTTAATTAGAGACTCTTATTGACCAAGCCTATTATGACTGTTCATTACCCATGTGCCTGTATAACTCTTCTTCGTGCCCTAAAAGGATCATCCCCAAAAAACTTGTTGCCCTAATTAGCCACATAAGTTCCTACCCTAGTTACGACGAAAATGCATGCCGTCAACTCTCCCCCTATCAGGTACCTCCCTGTAAATAGGTCAAACAGAGCCCAACCGGAAGACATCTCGATAACACTACTTCAAATGCAGTTAGACGTCTCTATGATCAGGGACAAAGTGAATTGGGCCCAATTTCAGATTAGGGATTCCTCACGTCTCAAGATGGACGGGCGGAATCGTGAAGTGGACGATGTGAGGACATGCTAGCTTGATATGTCCCACATGATAAACGACCTCAGGAACTGTTATGGGTAGTATCCTTAACTCATATTCAAGATCCGCAAATATTTATGAAGCCTCAGTATCCTTAAACATATCCTAGGATCCTGACTATTACCATCAATATTTCTAACACTTGTAACAGCTATATTTTCTTTATTTTTCTCACATATGCAGAACTAGTCAACACAAGACCCATTCTCAACAGAGAGTCATCTTAACCAGACAAAAGACCCAGAATACCAAGTAAAATAACGTTCATATGCTGATTCCGGAGGATCCTAGAATTATCGGACTTCTTGTTACTTACACTGGACTATAAATAACACATGTATCTAGCACACAACATACACGATTAGCCCTAGCATTACTCTTGTACTCGTATTACTTTCGTAATATTTGTAACCTCTGATTAAAATCAATAAAACACATCAAGGCATGTGATTATTATCATCTCCCAAGGTTTTATGCCGGAGATCCTACAAAGGATCAAGGGCTTTCCTTGTAACTCATTTGTCTCACTTTGATTACCATTTGATACTTACATTACACTAACACCACATCCTCTCACACAATTTGGTCAAATTGCACTTGATCAATTTTTGACCAAAACAATTTGGTGCTCACCGTGGGGCCATGGTGTTCATAATCATTCGAGAATCATGTCTACATAACCGACCTTATCCTCTTCCTCAAATCCTCCCATTTCCTCTAAAAATCTTCCTCCACCCGCATTTGAGCTCCCAAGAAAACCTCTGAGGCACCGAAGAAAAACACCTCTCCGGCCACTACCCAAGGATTTTAGGATCCTTATGTACTGATTTCCAATAACGAAATCCTCGCAATGATGAAGAGACTGGAGAGACAAGTCACTCAACAACAGGAGGATAACATGACGATACTCAAGGAAGTGGAGAGAATGAGGATAGAGATCCGCAAGCTGCAGGTAGCAACACCATCGCTCTTGCAACCCAAGATCCTGAATTTCGACAACATGGGATCCTCAACCAACCGCCGCGAGATAGGATCCTCAATACCGACCTCTGTTCCTACCTGGGACACGGTTCCAAGAGAGCAAGCCGACACGATCCAGGATCCCGGCGAAACCTTCGTTACTCCCAATAACAAGGATCTTGGTAACTTCGTCAATAATAATACCTTTACCAATAACTCTATGAATGTTGATGCAGGAATAGCCCGATCATGGCCAAAGAACTTCAATAGCTACGACAGATGATCTCAAGTGTACATGGAGTAGTCCAACCTATACTGAAAGTCTCCCCAACAAGCCACGAGATCTCTAGATGCGCTCCTTCAATCGTTGCACCGAGGTTCCAAAGCGCTTCCAAACTCCCAGCATGAAGCCTTATGACGGGACCACTGATCCTGAAGAGCATGTGGCATAATACAGAGAAAGAATGGAGATAATCACCACTCCCACACACTTGAAGGAAGCTTGCCTGTGCAAGGGTTTTGGTTCCACCCTCACAGGATCAGCCTTGAAATGGCTACTAAATGTTCATCCTTACTCTATTACTTCGTTTGCACATTTAGTTAATATTTTTAACAAGCAATTTTCTTGTAGCAGAACATTCGAGAAGATCACTAGTGATCTTTATCGGGTGGTTCAGGATCCTAAGGAATCCCTCAAGGATCCCCAACATCGACACGACAACTGTCATGGAAGCCTTCAAAATG